ATAGAGAACAGTCTGTATGGTGGCTTCAGGCAGACAAGACTTCCATCCTTCCATGTTCATTTACAGAAAAAAAAAAAAGCTCCCCTCTCTCCCGGCTGTCTCAGCCACAGTTTGTTCTGGTTTGCGAGTGCCCACCCCTCAAACAACCACGGGGCTGGGGAGCTGCAGTTGGCTGAGCCAGGCTCTCTTGCCCACCCTCAAGGCAAGACAAAGACTTCTCTCAAACCCTGTGGAATCACAGGGTGGGAGATTCCCCAAGGAAAATCAGGATGCTCTTACCAAAAGAAGGAGAAGGAATACAGAGCGGGCATGCCAGACTTACTTTGTCCAGCTCCCTTACCAACATGAGAGGAACTTGGGATTGGCAAGAAGTGACTTGGAGTGTTGTACGGCAGAGCAGAAACCAGACCAGGACTTCAGTCTCCTACTTAGTTTCCTCAGCTTTTGTTTTTTAATCTCTTCATTCTTCTTTTTGTCTGTGCAATTAATAGTATACTCTCCCTATAAAAATATTTATGTATACAGGGAAGATGGCTTTAAATCTAGGTTCCAGCCATTACCAACTCTTTCACCTCTGCCTTGTTTCCTCCTCATTGTAATGGGAATAATGTATTCCCATCATTCCCCTAATGATGCTCTACATTGTAAGAGCATTGTGACAATTAATTAATGTGTATAAAGTGCTTACAACCTTGCCTGACATAATGAAAAACCCTTAGCAGATATAGTCCATTATCATCATTGTCATCGTCTACCTTATTTTTAACTACTATCAGTACTCTATAGTTTCCATTTTTCATCATTTATTTACTATGTCCCCACTGATGGCCATTCACTTTGTCTCTACTCTCTTCACCATTTCAGAGTGTGTTAGGGGACACCCCTGGCCATGCCTCTTTGTCCTCATGCTGTGCATGTCTAACTAAACTTTGTCTGGTCAGGGTTGGGACCTCATTAGACTGTGAATCATGATGGAAGAGGTGCTTGGGCAAGGGGTGGGATATTTTGCACTCAGCTCATAGTCGTCAGGTTTGAAACGCACAGGGACCTCTTCCTCTGTGGTGTCTTCTGAGACCAGAAATACGGAGCCACGAGGGCATCGGCATTGGTGTCGTGTGATGTGTTACATGTCCCTGCTTTGACCCTTCGTGAGGGCATCGCTCTGCCCTCTCCTGCCCCCAGGGGCCTCTTTCCGGCATCTCAGGAGGCCACACTGTATCTGGGAGCCCACGGGGACCTAGAGCCATCAAGTCAGTGTGCCGTGTGCCATGTTGTAGAAACAAATATATGTTCATAGAGGAGCGCTGAGGAAGATCCCCTGCATGTTTCACGGAGATCAGCCCCTGGTGTCAGGATGTTGCCGGCCTTAGCAGTTGTCTTCTAGCCTTTCTGTGTTTTCCAGCTTTTCATTCTGAGCAGTTACCACTTTTGTCATCAGGAAAGATATTGTAAACATTGTTTTAGGTACATACACTCTAGATTTGAGTTTGGGGCCCAAGTCACTTTCCTCTCAGGGCTCCATTTTCCCCAGGTGAAGAATGGGGTTAGCACTGCCCAGTTTGTCTCCCTCCCAGGGGTTGATGCACCTTGGAGACAAGAGAAGGGAGGGTGTTCTATAAACCTTCAGGCATGATGAACCAGGGGAGGGCATAGATTACTACTGTCTGGTCAGAGCCAAAGCCAGCCTCTTTGCATTGGGAGCAGTGCCCTGGCTTCCCCTTGCCAGAGACCACTCTCTGAAGGCCATCGGGTGAAGGGATGCTTCCTATTTATCACACACAAAAGGACCGGGTGTGCCCTACTATCCAGTGTTGAGATCCTGAGACACGACACACAGACAGGTCTTAAAGGGGACAGCTAAGGTGGGGACTTCACAGGATGGCCTTCTCTCCTCCTCCCTGCCACCCCCACTCCCCCTCTGTCTGCTGCGATCTGAGGAGAATGGGGGCTTCTCCCATGAACTCCCAGCAGGGACGTGGCCTCTGGGCAAGTCCGTGGAACCACGTTTCCTGCGGGATACTGGAGAGATTCATTTCAACATGTCACATAATTTTCTGTTTAAACCAAGAAACTCTACTAAATTGGGACCAAACTAGTGTTGAGTGCCCATGCCAAAATGCTGTTTTGTGTTTATTTAGTAAATAAATGAGTAGGTGAATAGAGGAAGGAGAAAAAGAGTAAACCACCCCTCCCCCCTAAAAAAAGCACATGATCAAGTCTGAGCCTTTTTTTAAGTTCTGAATAATCTTTAGTTCCAGATTGGGTTAAATTAGAAGTGAATATAGTCTGTTATGGCTCTGTCTGCTTCCTTTAGTATATGATGGTGTGTCTACCCATAGACTGTGGGGCCCAACTTTGGGGTTCAAGAAAGCCAGGGCTCTCTGCTGGGTAATAGCTCTATTTTATTTCTCTCCATGGACTTCAGGCAGTTTATTACAGCTAACCCCCCTTCCAACCCGGCTTCAATCAAGTGAGCCTCCTGTGGAATTGGATGGAAGGCAGGAACTTTTGTAGAAAACTAGATAACACCTTTCTTGGCCACAGAGGACTCAGACAAATTAATGGAAAGGGCTTTTTAAGAAGAGATGCTTTCCTTTATTGGTGAAGACCAACATAATGAAGTTGAAGGTTTCCCCAGAAGGCTGGCTGAAATGATCAAAGGGGTTAGAGAAATGGGGGAAGGGTTGGAGGAAGGCTGTGTGGGGCCTCGATAAAAGCAGTCCAGCCAGATGGATGAACAGGAAGAGGTATAAAAGAAGTCCAGAGATTGCAAGTAGAAAGAGAGACTGAGCTGTTCATCAAAACTGGACTGCCAGAATTAGGGGCACCCTGTCCATGCAGCTGAAACTGGGCTCACAGTCAGACACCACAAGGTCAGTCCTGCCCTGTCCCGCCCCCCAGCTTCCCTTGATGCCTCTAGCCTAGAGGTAGGATTTAAAGCTAAGGAGACCGTTGACCCTGACCTGTTTTTTCCTCCCAACGCTTCTTTCTGAAAATTATCAAACATACGGAAAGCTTGAAAGAATTTCACACAGGACACTCATGTTTCTACTCTTTAGATCCTGTGATTAACTTTCCTCTAATGATTTTATCACATACACATTCATCCCTCTCTCCATCTACCAGTCCCTTTACTGTCTATTTATTTGTTTATTTTTGGCCGCGGTGGGTATTTGTTGCTGTGTGTGGGCTTTTACTAGTTGCAGTGAGTAGGGGATATTCTGCAGTTGCGGTGTGCAGGCTTCTCATTGCAGTGGCTTCTCTTACTGTGGAGCATGGGCTCTAAGGCACACGGTCTCAGTAGGTTGTGGTGCACAGGCTTAGTTGCCTCATGGCATATGAGATCTTCCCAGACCAGGGATTGAACCTGTGTCCCCTGCATTGGCAGATGGATTCTTAACCACTGGACCACCAGTAAGTTGCAAGGAGAGCCTGGCTTATTTAGACAATGGATTGCAGTGGCATACAAAAGAAGATATTTTCTTGTTATGCTTATTGTCCTAGGTGTCACAAGTTACCCCAAAAAAACTTCTTAGCAGCCTTGTGAAACCCCCTTGCATGATGCCTTTTACATCCTTGCTCCCAACTTCCACTCCTTGTGCCAGAGACTGGCACAAGGTGGATAGTTTTGTCATTCCCTCTGGGCCTGCCTGGTCTTCAGCTCCTCTTTTCTGGGCCGTGCGAAAATCTCTAATATCTCTATTGAAACATACCCCAACAATGAAAAGAAATGAAAGACGAAAAGATTCTTGAATTTTCTATCATCATGTTGTTAGCAATAATATTGGTATTGTTTTTCTAAAACTATTATTATATTATAGGGAAAAGCAGCCTAGTAATGTTGATGCTAAGAACCCTGATTTTTAGCAAAAGAGTTAAAATGTAAAACCAGACAAAAGCCTAAGAAAACTCCAGACCAGTTTCCCTTATAAATATAGATGTAAAAAGCCTCAACAAAATACTAGCAAACCAATATATAAGGATTATATAAGCAACATATAAGGATTATGCACCATGACTAAGTAGAATTTTATTTTACGTATTTTTGACTGTGCTGGGTCTTCTTTGCTACACACAAGTACCCATGAAGAGGCTGCCAGAAAGAATATTCTCGTCAAATCAGGTCAAGCCTCTATCTCCCACTACCAGTTTACAGGAGCCAACATAGGGCAAATAGAGGAACATGTTGAGAGACACCACAGCAATGCAGAAAGCAAAATGAAGACTGTGGGAAATACTCTAGGACAGATGACTGGGTTTCCTCAACAAAATAAAGGGTAAGGGGAAAAGAGACTAGGAGACACATCACCTAAAGGCACTAGGTCAGCCTTGTCTTGATCCTGGTTTTTAACAACCATCTTTAAAAAGACACAGAACAGTCAGGGAAGTTTGAACATCAGCTAGATATTTTCTGAGCCTAAGTAACTATGTTAATTCCTTGGAGCTTACCATGATATGAAAGGCCCAGGGAACAGGGCCTTCCACCCTCAGGTTTAGGATAGGGCTGGTGGAGAGCCAAGGAGACCCAGTTTATTCTTCCAAGTTCATGGATACATGGCTTTTCCTCCATGGAGAGGAACTTGTGCAAGGGCTGGGGAAAGAGGCAAGAGTACTATGAAAGGGCTAGCCGCCACATGGAAACATGAAGATGAGCAGCCGTGCTCCTATCACAACTGAGGTACAAACAAGTAAGTGCGTGTAAACACCAAACCGCAGCGCTGCTCCTCCACCGCTGGGAGTTGTTGTTTTGTAATTTTCATGTACAGAGCTGGGGGATCATGTGTGTGTGTGTCTATGTGAGTGTATGTGTGTGTGTTTATGCGTGCTGGGATGCCAAGCAGAAGACAGCTCTGAAGTGACCGTGGTGTCCGCAGCTTTCCCTCAGTCCCTAGAGGCTTGGAGAGGAAGCAGGAATTGCAGTGAGCTGAACCATCAGCCTGAGTTCTCTGGGCAGCCTGAGAGCTGAACCTGTCCTCTTCATCTCCTGTGTCTCCCTCTAGCTGCAAAAGCAAACGCTACCTGGAGACGCTCCCCAACACCAGCATCATCATCCCCTTCCACAATGAGGGCTGGTCCTCCCTCCTGCGCACCGTCCACAGCGTGCTGAACCGCTCACCCCCGGAGCTGATTGCCGAGATTGTGCTCGTGGACGACTTCAGTGACCGAGGTAGGGCCCCTTTCACCCAGCTGCCCACCCTCCATGCTCTGTTCCGTGACTCGCCGAAGGGATGGCAGGTTTTCCCTTCTTCAGCAGCACTAGCATATGGGCCATGTGTGCTGATACTTGTTCCGTGCCAGGCCACGAACCTGGCACTGAACACACGTTATCTCACTTAGCCTGGGACTGACTTCATGGGGCCAATTGAGATGTAGTTACCAGTCACCGTGAAGTGGGTTCTGTTTTTATCCTGTTTGTATCAATGTAAAAATGCATGAAACTGCAAGTAACAGAAAAATCTAGCTAACAGCTCAACAAAGGGGGTTATTCATTTATTCATTCATCTCATAAAGAGGTCCAGGGTTGGCACAGCTGCTCAAGTCTTTCATTGGAGAACAAGACTTGTTCTCTCTTCCTGCTTCCTCATCCTCATGGTCCTAAAATGGCTGCTGTACTTCTGGGAAGTCTACCTTTCAGGCAAGAAGATGGAGGAAGGGCAAAGAGAACAAACCTCTTCCTTTGAAGATTTTGCCTTCTTATTCAGAATGCAAAGTCTCCCCAGTGATTCTGAGCCAGAACTCTGACATTTGGGCACCCATATTGGCAAGGGTAGCTGGGAAGGTGAGTGTTCTGATTTTGGGCCTCTTTATGGTAGAGATAGGAAAAGGAAAAGTGAATTAGAGGAGGCATCAGGTCAACCCACTCACAATATCTGCCACCCCATTTTACAGATGTGAAAACTGAGACTCATAGAGGTTAAGTGACTTGCCCTTGGTCCCACAGCTCTTGGGTGGTAACACAGTGAACAGACCATGTCTTCCTGGCCCCACGCACAGTATCTTAACCTCTGGACCACACTGTAGAGCCTCCTCACTGAGTCTTACTCATGGGTTTGTGAGACACAGAAGTGGAGCCACAAATGAAACCCAAGAAGAATTTGTCCTCCAGCCAATGGTCTTACACTTATTCTTTGCATCAGAGCTTTTACCACTTGCAGTAAAATCAAGCGAAGCCCTTTCCTTTTCTCACCTTCTAGTAGGGGCACTAACAAGTAGTGAAGAGGAGCCTAATAATAATAATAAATAATATTATTTTTATTCAGAATTATCCAGAATAATCAAAACTTGAGTTTCTTGTGCCCCATTTTAATACTGCACCCCTAATTACCTGGCATATGTGTATATGTGTGCGTGTATACATACTCAAACATACACACATCTTACATTCAGTTCTTATTACCTCTAATTCTTCCCTCACTCTTGACATACACTCATTCTCAGGGGGCCCTTTAATTTTCCTTCTTTGATCTTATCACAGCAGAATTAAAATGCCAATAAGTATAACATGTGAGCATTGTATGTATAAACATGGACCTGTCGCGTGTTTATCCTACTGGACTCCACATTCTGAGAGCTGGGTCCACCCGGTCAGTCTTGTTCACCACACACTCTCAGCTCCTTAGGCATACAGTAGGTGCTTAATACATGCTTGACGAGTGAATTATCAGAGCTCCTTTCTCTGTCCCTTAACACTCCGCCAAGGGTAAAAGAACCGCCATTATATGAGATGTATTTATGTCCCTGAAGTGAGGTCTGTGAGGCCTCCTGCAGGTGGGTCTCCGTGTCTCTGTAGCACCATTCTTTAGCAACAGTTGCAGCTTTGCTCCTGGCCCTGGCACTTACTCGGTCTGTGACCTTTACCTGGTCACTCAACCTCTCTGCTTCAGTTGCCTCATCAGTGAAATGGAACCTGCCTCTTAGGTGGTCATGCCTATTAAATGGGTTAATATATGTGAGGTGGTTAGGACAGCACATGGCACAAAGTGAACATCAGAAATAAACATTTAACCCTGGCATCATCATTATTGTTGTTAACATTGTTTATGACTGGTTTGTCAGAGGGGGAGTCAGGGACAAATGTATAGACGTCAAGGTCCGGTCTCCCCCTTTCCATGGGTGAAAGGGCTTTGCAAATTGTAAAACACTAAACAAATGTGCTATTGTCCCACCTTTAGCCTAAATTGTCTTCCCATCTATTCACTGTTTTAAGAACCACATCTATGNATGTATAGACGTCAAGGTCCGGTCTCCCCCTTTCCATGGGTGAAAGGGCTTTGCAAATTGTAAAACACTAAACAAATGTGCTATTGTCCCACCTTTAGCCTAAATTGTCTTCCCATCTATTCACTGTTTTAAGAACCACGTCTATGGGCCAGAGCCATGTATTATCTCACTTTTCCTTCATGACAGCCTCTGAGGGAGAAGGCCCTGGCTTGGAGCACGTGCTTCTGTGTAAGGAGGGGCCCAGGGGTGCCTCAGGGAACACTGTGAGGGCTGTGGAGAACCTGGCCGGTGCAGGTGGGGTTCACATAGCTCTCCTAGCAGGGTCTGTCCTTGATTTGTGAAAAACCGTTCGCTAAGAGGAGCTCCACTGCTTAGAGATGTGTGAAAATCACAGCGTAACTCAGCCTTTGCTTGTGCAGATGGGAGGCTGTCCTGGAGCCGTGGACCGAGCTCACCGAGAGCATGTGGCCGCTGGCTGCAGAGGAGGGATGAGCACCTAGCTTCCCCATACAGCCTCATCCCCCTCGCCTCAGCTTCTCTGTGAAACGAACTTGGGAAAGAAAAGGTAAATTTTATAAGGCTGGCATTCACCAAGTGCATCTGTTTCTCCAGAGACCAAAAGTATCAGTTGAATGCAGTACCATTCCCAAAGCCTAGTAAGGGAGAGATGAGCACTGTCCCATGTCACAGATGGGAATGAGAACCGAGGCCCCTTGAATGGTGCCCTTTTTTCTCAGTGACTTGGGCACAGAACCCAGAAGAGAACTCTTGCCTCCCGCCCCTCAGTCCTGCACATTGGCTGTCAGATTTCACAACCTCCATTCTTCAGAAAAGCAATAATTCTTCTTATTTTAAGAAGAAATTCTCAAGGCAGCTTGGGAAGAAAACTTACTCAGCAGTGATTGTTTCAAAAATGAGATTTGGGAGAAACAATTTCAGCATTATAGAGAAGCCTGTCTAAAGTACGGCAAATATGGGCCATCGTGAAAGACAGATTTCTCTGGGCCACGTGAGCAGAGGCAGTTCTTTAGAGTTGAAATTCATAGATGCTAACTACGGGCTCGATTGGCACTGCCTGGCAGAAGGCATTTTCCTCTGAAATGAGCCTCTTCCAGGATCCTCAGGGCAACTAATTGTAATTCAGCTGAGGGTCGAGACCTTGGGTAGGAGACAAAATTGGAGCAGATGAATTCTTGAAATAAGATCCAGAGCTTTGTGCAGGGAGCACTGGGGACTAGAGCAAAGGCAGACTGGAATCATCCCAGCCTTGCTTGCAAATAGAGTGCTGTGGAGTTTACAGGGGGCTCCAGAAGCTTCTCTAATGTGGGTGCTTCCTTGAGGATTAGGAGGACACAGAGGTGCTTTTTCTCTAGTGGGAGAGAGAGATGAGGCGGGAGGATGGCAGGCCTGCCTCCAGATTGCACTGCCTGCATAGGAAATCTTTATTTGGAAAAACAAAAAGGGTCTTTGTTCATTTTTTCCCTTCTATTCTCCTTCCCCTTCTCATTTCCAAACAGTATCGGTTTTCCAAAAAAAATAGCACATGTAGTCATGGAAGGCATTATTGTCTTTGGATGAACTGTGGGCCTCCTGGAATGATGAAGTGCAGAAACAAAAGTCTGTGATACAGTCTCATTGACATCATCTCCCCCAGCTCAGCTCCCCAGCAGCAAACAAAAACATACACAGTACAGGGTTCCCTCGGAGGAGGTTCTTAAGCATTTGCAGAACTGTTGACGGCTTGTTGGTAGTGATTGGTGCTGGAGGGCATATGGACATTGCGGGGCCCATTAGTGCGTGTGGTCGAGACTCTCAAAATTGAGACCAGGGTCCAAGGTCTTCTTTCCACCATGAGCTTTTTAACTCTTCCCTGTGCTGTCACGCCGGGCCAGCCCTGTTGTGATACACATAAGGAGATCCACTTGCACTGACCTGATTTGCCCTGCAGTGTCTCACTCTTGACACAGGCCCATGAGCGTCTGTCTGTTCCTCATTTCTTGTCCTCTCTCGCAGCCCTGGTTTGTTTCCAGGACCACCACAACCTTCAGGATGGCCATTCCCCACTTCCACTGTATTGTTCAGGTTCTTTTCACCTTGAGTTTTCTGCTGCTCATTTTGTTGTTTCTGTACAGTTGTCCTGATCTCATTCATATTCATATATTCAGAAAATTCATGAAATGACTCTATGCCTGTCACTGCAGTAGGTGCTGGGGCTACAATGAGAAGGAAATAGACATCTGTTCTAAGGATCACACCCAGCAGGGCAGACAGACAGTGTAAGGGGCAATCATAAGATCATGGAACATGTGCCCCTTGCTGGAGGTCCAGGCGGTGTTGAACTTGGAGAGGATCAGAGAAGAATTCCTGGAGAAAATCCCAGCTAAACTAGATCCTAAGGGATGAGTAAATACTGCCCCTCAGGGTAGGGGAGTGAGGAGAATGTTCCAGGCAGAGGGAGCAGCGTGAGCACAGGCTAGAAGTCAAGGTGGAAACGTGGAAAGTGCAGAAAGAGCCGTCTGTCACCTCCTCACCTGGAGGCAATTACTGTTAACACTTAGGCTTCTCCAGTGGTTATTTTTAAATAGGCCTTATTTTTTAGAGCAGCTTTAGGTTCACATCAAACTTAAGCTGAAAGCACAGAGAGCTCCCATCCACCCTTCCACCTACTGCACACATACCCCCCACACCCACACCCTGCTCAGTGTCCTACACCTGCATCAGAGGGGTAGATTTGTTACGATGGATGGGCTGTATCAACGCATCATTGTCACCCAAAACCCATAGTTTATATTAAGGTGCATTCTTGGTATTATATATTCTGTGGGTTTGGATAAATGTATAGTGACGTATATCTACCATTAGAACATCATACAGAGTAGTTCACTGCCCTAAAAATCCTCTGTGCTCTGCCTTTTCATCTCTCCCTCCCTCCTAACCCCTGGCACCCAGTAACCTTTTTACTGTCCCCATAGTTTTGCCTTTTCTAGAATGTCTAATGTTAATTGGAATCATACAGTATGCAGTCTGTTCAGATTAGTTTCTCTGACTTAGTAATATGCATTTAATGTCCCCCCGTCTTTTTATACCCTGTAGCTCATTTCTTTTTAGTGCTGAATAATAGTCTATTGTCTGAATGTACCACCATTTATTTATCCATTCACCTACTGAAGGGCATCTTGGTAGCTTCCAAGTTTGGGCAGTTATGAATTGTTGTTGTTGTTGTTGTTGTTTAGTC